CCAGGAGCCCCTAGTAGCTTCTTGCTCCTAGTAGTAAGGCCAGGAGCTCCTAGTAGCTTCTTGCTCCTAGTAGTAAGGCCAGGAGCCGCTAGTAGCTTCTTGCTCCTAGTAGTAAGGCCAGGAGCCCCTAGTAGCGTCCTTGCTCCTAGTAGAAATGCCAAGATTTAGTACTGGCATCCAAGATCTAATGATTCTAATGCCTCACAGGACAATCAAGGCGCCAAAGGTTCGCACTAATCGTGATCGACAAGGATCCAAGGAGGTTCGCATATGAAGACTATTTTGTTAGGTCACAAAACTTGGAGGCTGATTGGAGTGGAGTACTGCAGGCATGAGATGGTGGTGGACAATTTTGGTGGCAACGCCCTCAAAGGATCAGTCACCACTAATGCAGCTATGGCAGTGTTCATCTGATGCCTAAAGCTTGAGGCCACTCGCTGCCTCTCTAAAAGACAGACAGAGAGAGGGAGTCTGACACCCCCCCGATGCAAACCATGATAACCTCGAACAAACCATTATTTCAGAGTCAAAGGAGCTGTGAAAATTGGCCAAGTGCGGCATGCGGGGAGCGAAAGTGGCCTACTGGGTCTAAAAGACTTCGGGTCCAGCGTTTGACTCTCCTGAAGTGCAATGGCACGATATGCTCGGCGCGAGCCAGATTCAAATGTTTCAATGAGCTGTGGGAGATTAGACCAAGCGCCTTGTCAGACAAAGGATTGCATCTTATTAGATGTGGCACTGGCAAAAGCCAGCTGCCTTCACGAGCACGGCATTTGTCGCACGACCAGGTATTCAGGCGGAGGAGGGGTGCCGTCCACATGCGGGTTGCGCATTGTTGCAAGAAGCAAGACTTAAGACGGTAGGGCATTGCAGCATCCTTTCTTGAATAACAGTACTTTTGCACTTTCGCATACTTTCGCGATATTGCGATATGCTTTGAACGAGATACACATGTTTGGTTTCGACTTGCGTTTACTGCGCTTCCCAGTGGCAATGATTCCTTTAGCACACACCCTTCTCACGCCAAGTGCGATGTGCTCTCAACAATTCGCTACTTGAGTACTTGCCGTCGGTGCTTTTGAGCCAGTCCGAGCGAAAATCCAGCAGTGTTATTGTGCACAAAACGGGTTTGGGATTGGGGACAGCCAAGCTTTGGTCTGGCATTTGCACCATACCTGCATTTTGAGGACATCATCTTCCTCTAATCATTTGCGATTTCAGTCACAACCAAATACTACAAACAGATCTTGCCTACGAGTTGATGTCCGAGTAGAAGTTGGCAAGTTTGATGCTGCACTGCTGCCTCTAGTCGTTGTGTTCAGAGTGTAAACACATGTAAAACCTCAATCTGACATACATTGGGTCTGTCCTATTACCTGTCAATGTCGGTAAACAAGAACATCATAGACCCAGGGTACACATGTATTTTGTACGGCGAATCTAACACAGGTACAAGTCTTTCCACACACACAGACACTCGTAGGCATTGTATGTTTCAAAGCGACTTTCATGGCCCTCACTGACCTTACTCTGAACACGGGTAACTCAGCTTGTGAGAGGGAGAAGAACCGGGCAGAGAGCCTTCGCTTCGCCTTTGAGGTTCCTCCACTGGCCTTTGTAATTCTAGAGGTTGATGCAGGCTCCAGGAAGCGCCAAGAGTGCACTGCCTTGAAGACGCAGCGCAGCTGCGAAGGAACGGAGCTTTTGATCGAACGGAATGTATAGGAGCTTTTGGCCTCACTTGTAAGTTGTTGAGGCGTCTCCTGTGTCTGAAGGGGACCCAAAATGGGCTCTCTTGCAGGCTACAGTAGTGAGATTGAGATGACGTCTCCAGTGTCTGTCGCAATGCCCTTTTCAGCAACAGACTGCTTGAGCTTTGCATTTGCCTTTGCCCGCCCTCTGGCGTATTGGCAACTTCCTGGGAGTGAAGCACGGAGACCGAAGCTTGACGAAGCTTGATAGCTCGAGGACGCAAGAAATTCATTGGACAATCGCAAGCAATGTTTAGCATGAGGTGTGTTGAAAGTCTAGATTGAACGGTGGACATTATATGTTACATGTTGTTGTGCTGGGCTTTCAAAGCTAGCTCCATTACTGCAATGTTGTAAAAGACGGTGCATCTCCAGAGCACAAATCCGCGTTCCTGGCCTGAAAAAGATCGCCCCAAGCAGAAGCACTGCTTTCGTGCTGCAGGATTGTGCAATACCATGTCATTTAGCGGCGCACTTGTTACTTGTTGTAGTTTCTTCAAGCATGCCGGCAACGTGTTGCAAGTAGACACGGCAGCACCTCCAGGCATTCTGAGACTTCCCATGCAGCACTGCAGCACTATATCCTGTGTTGCTGCAAGAGCGTATATTATATCACAATACAATACACAGGAGACACCAAGACAAATAGAACACAAGTTGCATTCGGAGGGCACCTACTTCAGCAATAGCACCGCATTTGGCTTCACTTTATATATATCGAATATCACCACCACGTGTCTTTGCACAATCCAGAGAATCATGGACATTGATTGAGATCTTGTTTTGCAACCAGGCTGCACTTTGACTAAATGAGTTTGGTCGCCCTGTGCCGGGTTCTTTGTGCATGTTCCAAGGTTTGAATCGGCATTGCCGAAGGCGAGGGTTGCGGTTTTCTGAATGGACTCGATCATTGAATATCACAAGCAGACACCGAAACTGAGGAAGTGTACTAGCCAAGTTCATACTCTTGCGCCCATTGAACAGTTCCGTGGTGTTTGAAGTTTGACGGTTTTAATTTGTTTAATCAGAGGCTCTTTAGAGGCGAATCAATGGGTGCCAGCTCCAGCTTGGATCGTGTCGCCCAATCCCAGGCGCTGAGACGTTTTGGCGCGATTCGCTGCTCTCAGCGGTGTGTCCCGGAGAACTTGTTTTGCAGGTTGGGTGGACCTTGCCGCACCAAACGGGAAGCAATGCGTGGACAAATTATGTGATGTCTCGATATGGTCGGGACCTTTTTCATCCTTTTTCAGAACTTTTATCAATTTTTGTTGAGCACATTGTAGCATTCCTGTGCTTACCTTTAATATCCTTTTACCCTTTTGCTAAGGCATTGGCTATTCCGTCACAGGCGTTTCTGCAAGCTTGGCTTTGCCAAGGCCACACCGACATTGGGGTGTAACAGTGTGCAATGGTGTGTACTGACAATGACATTCTTTCGATCAAGAAAAAAGGCATCCTTCTCTCTCAGAAGATGTGGACTCTCAAGTGGTGAAGAGCAGAGCGTTTCCAAGGCTGCTGCGGAGGCGGATGCAGGACGCGATCTGTTGCATGTCGCTGCACGCTTCCTTTCTTTCTTCTCAACAATTTCAAGCTGCTGACTATTTAGGATTGGGTGGTTGAAAACCTCGCCTTTTACTTTGGAAGGGACTTCTTATCCTTCGGCCTGGCCCAAGTGCCCCATTGATGCGACCCAGACATGCATCACCGTGGATGACCAAGGCCGCAACCTGCAATCACTCTCGCGTGAAGGTTCGGCGATGTTCTACGGTGTGGGAGCCTTTGGAAGAATCGCTTTGGGCAAAGCGCTCCACTGCGAAGCCCTCTTGAGATTTAGCTCAGCTCCTTTGCGCGCTTGCGTATTGAGGGCACACTGTATACCTTCTGCATTTTGCATTGAATCGACGAGGTTGACATACGGCTGGGAACACATGAGCATCTGGCCTGCACCAGTTTCAGCTTTTTGTTCTACCACCTGAATTGATACGAGCATTTGCCCATGAGAGAGTCTCTTGTAGAATCCTTGTTGGCGGTGCAGTTGTAATGCCTTTGTGAGAACGTGGAGCATATGGCAAGGTCCAGCTGGTTCTACTGCAAGTCCACCGAGTGGCTGCTGAGAACTTAGTCTGCTGAGTGGCCGTTGAGTAATCTTCATGGTCTCCGTCGGTTCAACACTTGCGTGTAGTCTGAGAACTGAAAGAGCTGCCATGGCAGACCTAGTCACCTAGTCTTCGCACATGTGGTGTGAAACAATCTGCGGTTTTGTGCAGCTCAAAGAACGCCCAGTTTCATGTCTCAGGCATATTATCCAGCACAAAAAACACCAGTGAATTCAGCAAGGCAACACATCAGGATGACATGAGCTAGAAGAACTGAGCATCTCCACCAGCCATAAACAAGGCATCTCCACCTGTGATCCTTTGCCAACATGGCGTGGTCCAGGAAGGGGGTGCCATCTCCAACTGGAAGCAGATCTGCTGAAATCGTTGTGTTGGAACAATTGGCTTCAAACCAAACACACACTTGACTTATTTTGACTTATACCTTTTCCTATACAACGTTTCTTGACAGCTATGTTATGTAATGTATATACTTAAATGTTTTTCAGGTGGTTTGGAAGGTCCTGCTCCGGTGTTGCCGTTTCATTTTTCTGAGAACAGATAAAGATTTGCGACGACCAGAGCCAGTAGGTTGAAAGGACAAGTTCATACTTGACGTTGAGGTGGAAAGAACAACCCAATGACTCTTGAGCAGCTGCATGATGTGATGACCAACGAGATGCAACAGCAGCTCAAAGCACTGCGAAAAGAACTGCAACAGGCCAGTGCGGCCAGGGCGGGCGGCCAGGATGTTGGCTTGTGGTGTTGTGCTGAATTATATTGGCCTCTTAGAGTTTGTATAGTTCACCGGAGGGGTTTGTGGCTGCTAGGGCTAGGGGCAACAGATGTCAGACTCACTACTGTACGAAGATTCAAAAGAATTCATCTGGTTTCGAGGACTTTTGCGAGCTGCTGGAGACTCATTATCTTGGGGAGAAGTCAAGCAATAAGGACCTGCACTGTTCAAAGACCAGGCGGTTCTAGTGGAAATCTGCCAATGTTGTTTGTCATGGCCTTGTGATCAAACAGCAGGAGAGTCAGAAGAACTTGTGACGCTGCCATGGTTTTCTTCTGCTGAGAGAGCTGGTGAGGAGTCATCTGTGGAGTTGCTCTCTGCGGAGGTGTACTCAGAGACTTTGCTGAAATGGACCAACATCGCGGACAGAAACAAATGCGTGGCTTGGACTGGACATGGAGTACTCATTCCAGTCCTCGCTCTTAGGAGAGGGAAAACTCACTGCCGGTGGAGGAGGAAGCTTGGCATAGCTTAGCTCTTTACTGAACATGTCTCAACAAAAGGAAGGAACCAAATCATTAAGATTAGTGCGAGCGCCTCTTCAAGGAAGCTACCCTCGCCCTCAGGTTGGGGAGCTTCCTTGAAGAAGCGTGAGCTATCCTGCGCCCACACTAGTAGCTTATATAAGTAGCTACTGGCTTACTTCTATATATGTATATATATATATATAGTTAAGTAATTAGGCGCCTGAAAGAGCGAGCAAAAACAAATAGTTAAACATTAGAATACATACTGTATGTATATATATATATATCACAAACTACGACTTTTACCCCACAAGCCAAGCTTTTCGGATCACGCATGATGGTCCACCACGAGGTTGGTCGCTTCAGCCTACTTTCATCGCACCGAAATTCTGGGTCGCACCTGGGCAATTCCGAGCTGTTTGAGTCGTTCCATGTTTCCTGTAGCAGGCCCGCAATCAGTGTTAGATGTGCGAACACTTTGACGCTGAGGTATCCAGAGCCACTGGAGATTCAAGGACCGAACTCCCAGAGAAGTGCTTCCACTCAAGAATGCATGGGTTTCCAATTTGTTGCAGGAGCTGACAGGAATCTTGGCCGTGTTCATGCACTATACTTCTAAGGTATTTTGTGCTTTTGATTATTCACTACTATATCCTTACTGTACCAAGGAGGGCTTTGCTGGAGGATCTTGATGATGACTCTGTAGTCGATACACTTGGAAGCCACGGGCTCAGAAGGGTACGGGGTAGCGAGGCTTGGTGGGGCCAGACCCCTGTACTGTCCATGTCAACATTTGTTGCTGTTTCCAAGGCAGAGACATTGTGCTGCCTGAACATGAGGAAAAGACTCTCCGAGGCCAAGAACGCAGAAAACGAAGAGACTAAAATCAAGAATCATAGCGCCTTTCCTTCGCACGTATTTGACTTGATAAACGATCGTTTTGGGCACATGCACAATAGCACAGAGAGAGAGGGAGAGAGGGCGAGAGGGCGAGAGAAAGGAGCAACTTCGGTGGAAACTCAAGGCCAGTGCATTTGATTTTGCTTAGTGCATTGCAAATGAAAGGCATCCTCTTCAGATGGTTGCACGGGTCCTAGAAAAGTGTGCTTGTGTCGATTAGTAAGTCTGCACTGGCTTGCTTGCTGCGCAGCATTTCAATAAGGAACAGCAATGCCTTCAACTATACGGTTCCGAGACTGCAATGCTTGTAGCATCCTCCTAAAAAGATAGGAAGTTCCCCCCGCCATCCGTCCTGGCCCTAGGACCGAGCTTCTCCTAGTAGCGAACTAGTCTCCCTTACTTCAAGTAGGTGTCTACTTGTTGGACTTGAGCAGGAACGGGCTAAAAAGAGGTTGTTTGTTCATGTTTGTTGGAGTTTAACAATTGAACCGACTGGTCGACTGATTCCATGAATTGTGAGGTCTCCATCCTGGTCTTTTTGAATGCCATCCTGATCGGAGCACAGACGGACTATGCAGCACAGCACGGGGGTGCAAGTCACTTGGCAAGTCTGTCACGGAGTGAGGGCGACAAGGCAAGTGCCAAGACCCTTGGATGTCCTTGGAGCCAAGAATCAGCCAAGGCTCTTTGCCATGGTGTGGCCCAATCAATCACTTTTTTTGCAGCTTGGAAGACATAGTTCGAGCACACTGGTTCACAAGTTGTTTTTCAGGTCATCAATGGCTCACGGGGCTTTGCATCTCCAAGGTATCGTCTTCACTGCAGAGGTTTGCTGCAAGGTGTTCGTGTATGGTTGCCGCTTGGTCTGCATTGTTGGCTGTGCCAGATTGTTGACGTTGTCATGATCTGCGAAGCTGGAACTGAATTACAAAGTCGCAGTGACACTCTCCAGCGAGGCGAGCATTTCTTTTGGCGAGACAGTGATTGGACCGAACCTTAGTTCCGTTCACGCCTTTGCTCAAACCAAACCCTACAGCCAAGAAAGGCTCCAACATTATCTCAGCAGTGACAACAGTGCTTGAATCCATACTTGAGGAAGTGGAACTGGTTTGACACATTGGTCGTGGGCTTGCAGTGGGCAGACTATGCTGCAGAGATGATGCCCGGAAAGCTTGTTCAATCCGGAAATTTAGGCTCCTTTGGCACAAGAGTCTTTGTGCTTCTTTTTGTGACGTCTTTCATAGGCTATTAGGTTGGAGGCCATCGCTAGTAGCCACTGCTTCTAGGTTGGAAGTTGGAAGCTATTGGGTTGGATGCTATTGCTATTAGATTGTGCAGTTCTGCCACGCTGTGGCGCCAAGAGTTCCATATGATGAGAGGAATGTGCTTGCGGATGCTGCGTTTGGCTCGCATCATGCGCCTTGCTCGAGCCGCTCGGTAAAGATTAGCCGCTGGTTTCATTTGGTTTCCTAGTTTGCCTCAAGGCGCTCCGTGATTCATGTGTTCTTTTTTGGACCTTTAGCAGTTGCTGTGCGACTAAGGTAATCCATTTGATGGTGGAGCTACGCTCCATGGTTGCTTCGATAATCGAACCTTGGCACAGAGGGGCCAACGTGTTCTGCCCATATCCTCTCCAAGTATCAACAGGTCGTGAACCGATCAAGAGCATTCTCAGGCATCACACGATCGAATCCTTTCAATCTGTCTTGTTGCCAAAGACTGGAACATAGAAACACCAGATCAACGATGCTCAGGCATGTCTTCGCCCCTTGATCTGGGCTTCGGTGCTATTTGGCATGCTGGTCTACACAGTAGCAGTATTCTGGCTAAGCAGTGCGGGAAACATTTCCTTGTGAAGAAGATTGTTTACATAGCCTTGCTGCCAGTGGCACCTGGAGTGCAGATTTGTCCAGTTGAGGTCACTCTGACCGAAAGCGCCAACCACTACCGAGCGGCTCAACATCCTCATGCATCCTCCGCGCTTGACATGTACTTCTCAAGCAGCTGCCCCAGTATTAGCATTATTAGCCCAGTTATGCTTTTTACATATGGGATGATTTATTTAAATATTCCCGGGGTCCTGTGGGTTCACGGAATAATTTTTTCAGAATAATTTCTAGGAATAATAAACTGCTGGGGGGGTAGGTCAAGGGTACCCTTGGAATACTGTTCAACAAAATCTATAACTAGAGGTATACAGATATATACAGTGAATTGATGTGAGTTGTCAGAGGAAGGAGCAAGGACGCTACTAGTCGCTACTAGTAGCAAGAAGCTATAAGAAACTACTAATTAGGGGTGCTCCTGGCATTACTACTAGTAACATAAAAAGCTACGAACGTGACAAGGGGTCCCAAGACACAAAACCATTGCCGAAAAGCTCGATGACTCAAGCTTGGCCTCTGGCGATGCCGGAATGTCAGAAAGACACTGGACAGGTTTTTGCGCACTTTTCATTGCTACTAAAACAATCTGTTTTAAAATGTTTTAACGCTTCAAGATAGTCATGAATACTTTGGTATACTTTCGCTGACGCAGTGATGGCTAACTCAGCTAACTCAGCCTAACCTGTATACAATCTCCATATCCACCAGAAATTATTCCAGGGGTGGTTCAGTTCTGGTAGGGGCCTATAATAATATCACTTGCCCTGTTTGCCTCTATACCTAACCATGTCTGCGATTATGCCTCACCCAAAACCCATCACAAAATCCTTAAACCTCAAGCTTTCCCAACCCATACCAGAAGACTTACTAATATTGTTCATTCTGCTTCCTATTTCCTGTACAAGATAAACATATTCCAGGGGTGGTTCTGTTCTGGTGGGGGACTGGAATAGTATCATTTGCC